CCAGCGTGAAGAGAGGGGGGTGGACTTGAACAGAGGCAATACTGTGCCCGCAAAGGGGGCGGGAGGAATCGCAAGCTTTTTAGGTCAGCGGCGGTGACCGCTGTAATCGAACCGGAGGGGTAGGCAATAGCAAAAAGCTCTTGATGAAGTGGGGGAGGAAGCATTATGGAAAAAGGGCGATTAAGAGCAAGAGGGCCGAACGGGAGGTGGAGCCAGTATTCAAGTATCATTTAAGTGGTACTTGGCCGGGGTACTAGTTTTAACACCAATGTGCGGTCAACTGGAAACAAAAGGGGTCAACAGGAACAGAATTCTTGGAGGAAGGGGACTTGGGCACACAGTTCAGAGGAAGGAGGAACAGCCTTTCATAAGAGTCGATGCAAACGGACGTGGAGAATTTCCAATTGGTTCAGCTGGAAATAACAAACGTGTTTAAATACCTACCATATAAAACACTAAACAGGCAGACAAAATGAAACCCGAGCGCATTGGTTAGATACTCTAGACGAGCTGAACCCCAGCCCACGATGGTCTGTGGTGACTCATTCCACGCATGCGACGTCGCTGCCAACGAGTGAACATGCACCAGCCACCTACGAGCCACTACCGTGAGTCCCCTAAGAACTCGAGACAACCAAAGTCCACCATTTCATGATTGGCTGCAGGAATAGGGCATGCGCCGGACTTCAGGCAATCCCCTACGCTCACATTACTTCAGACGCGGCGCTGTAGCCGGTGTTCGCTCACTCGTCTGACAGTCAAGTTTCTTCCTGCCTTTTCCCCACTTCCTTCTGTACAGAATAAACTGTTCCTACCACTCTGGCCTCCCATATCTTCGCTTCTCCTAAGGAACCGGGGCCTGAAGATCACAGTTGCTCGGGGTTTCCTTATTAACCCGCTGGGATTATGGTGACTCCTCGACGTGATCCCTGCGATAGGTCGATCACATTGAAGGAGAAAGTGTGAAGAATGAATCCTTAAATCGGACCCTCTTGATGACCTCAACTGAAGATATAATTGCAGTTGACAGCCTAAGTCGTAACGCTAACTCTGTGCATAAAGCATAGCTCTAATTATAACACTTGAGGGAGGCGTGACGGAATAGGCGGGGGGGGAGGCGGTTGAATTTAGTTGACCAACTTGACGTAATTATTTCATAAACGTAAAGTCTCCGCTTATCACCACAATGGGCACTACGTCG